TTTCTTTCTTTCTTTCTTTCTTTCTTTCTTTCTTTCTTTCTTTCTTTTTCCTTTCTTTCTTTCTTTTCTCTCTCTCTCTCTCTCTGTCTGTCTCTCTGTCTTTCCTTTCCTTTCTTCTTTATTTCTTTGTATCCTACTTTTATGATTTTTACAAATAATTCAAAGCAGCAAACAGATCTTCTTCCACCGCTTAGTTTCCCCACAACAACAATCCTGTGAAGTGTTTTGGGCTGAGAGACAGTGACTGGCCCAAAGTCACTTAGCCGGCTTTCCTGCCTAAGGCAGGACTAGAACTCAGAATCTCCCCATCATTAACCACTAAACTGGATCTCTTTATAATAAGCAAGTTGATAAATGTTCATCATAGAACTCTTTCTGATTGCTTTGACTGTAACTAATCAAAGCTAGTCACAGTCAATGAAAATAAAGACGAAGCTGTAATCGTTCAGCCTTACTTTGAAGTTTCTCCTCAGCTGGGAAAAAAGGAACAATATTTTTAGAAGACAGAAATTCTGTGCATAATAGAGCTGCTTTCCTGTAATCGGTGTTTGATCATGCTTCCCTCTTATCCATCTTATAAAAGTACTTTCTCATGAACTATGTGAAAAATCCTCATTCTGTAATACCATTCTTTATGTGAATGAAACACTTAAAAAAAAAAACCCTTACCTTTTCTTTAAGTAACTCTTTATAGGTTTTGGTGCCTTAGTATATTTCTTTTGATTTTTAAAACCTGCAAAACAAAACAAAGCGAAAATCTTAAAAATAAGTTTACATGATAACATTAAAAAGAAAACACGGTCCATAATTCAGTGGTGTATTTTAACTCCTTCAGCAATTCCTCCATTGATTTCATTTACTCATAAGTTTACTACTCCACTGCTAAAATTAAAAGGGAATCTCCCCCAATTTCTACAGAAGCATTCATTTTTATCATCATTTATAGATTAAATCATAGCCATTTAATTTAACATGGTACTAATTAACCAGTTGGGCCCTCCATATTATAAGGCATGTTTTTAATTCTGCTTTCAAATATGCCTATACGTACACCAATGTTATTGGAGCCACCATCCCAGCCAAAGAGGAGGGATCAAACAGCAGATTAGCATGAACTAATTATGTAAACACAAGAGGGCGAAGTCCCCCTGATCTGGTCTCTCTTAGGCAAATCTGCCAGTGTGGGAACATTCCTGTATTACAGGCAAGGAACAATAAAGTGGCTACTTTGAACTCTTCATTGATCTGATTATTGGTGCCTGACAGATATAGTCAAAACATTTTAAAAGATAAGGTCCTCCAACCTCACCTGGAGAAGAATGAGAACCAAGACATAAAAGGGATGGTATGGTTTTCTTCTCATTCAGGTTTTGTGGAACAAACAGGCTGATTTTTGGGATACAGAAAGAGATTCGTTTCACTAGGCTGAATCGTCAACCACAACTGCATTCTTTCTTTTCCCTGATTAATCACAGTTGCCATTTACACACTTGGGAAATCATATACAGTATTGCTCCTATGGCTAGTGGTATTATTTGAATGCAATATATTGCAAATGAGTGCAATGAGGCACCCTTTGAAGCCCATTAAATGGCTGGTATGAATGTATATTGTCGGTGGGGTGGGGAGGGTGGGACTTATTGTTTTTTTTATTATTTTTACTTTTATTTCTTTTATATTGTGCTTTTTCGTCCTCGTAAGCTACCTTGAGAGTAGGCGAC